TCATACCTGGCCTCCAGGTTGCTTTGGAAAACAACAGAGCAAGAAATGTCTGGGGAGGTCTCTCTTTTTCTTGTTTACTTTTTTCTTTTTTTTTTTCTTTTTCTTTGTTCTTCATGGAGGGGGATAGGCAGAAAAAAGTATCTTGGGTTTTTGTTTTTCCTGTTTCGCATGCATCACTCTTAAAAATCTCAGTTTTGAAACCATTAGTAGGTGACAGAAAAGAACGGAAAACAAACTTAATCTGGTTCCTCCCTAAATTGCAAATGATCAAGGCTGGGAGAGTCCTGGGAAAGTGTCATAGGTGCTTGCACTTTTCTCGTCCCCTTTTCTCAATACTCACTTCTGGATGCTGTCAGTGAGAGGTTACTGGATACCAGGCATACGATTTGGCCAAGTATGCCTGCTCTTCTGTTCTCAGTCATTCTGATGATTCTCAGATCATCTGAGCTGCAGATACTCACTTGCCTAGTATCTCATCAAAAACAAGGGCATCAGATCAAGGGTTCAGTTTAAGTCATTTTTTCAAGCCTGGCTGAAAGCATCCAGGATTTTATCTGACTAAATGAGCAGGGGTAACGGGAGGGACAACAACCAGCATAGGATCCCCGTTAAGAGAAGCAAACGAAGAGAAGAGTCATGTTGTCCTATTGCTTTGCTCCTGGAGTGAAAAGCAGGTTAACAACACAATGTTATATGCGGTGTTTGAAGCCCTGGGTGGTGTTCTGAATTTTAGGAAGTAGCAAGAGTAGCTGAAAGGCTGCCCAGGGAAGGAAGGTGAAGCAGGAGCCAAGGGGACAATGACACAGGCAGGGCAGTGAACTCACCAAGGGGAGAACCACGGCAGAGTGCAAATGGATGTTCAGTTCCGTCACTTTCGAGCTATGATTTCAGGCCCTTTACACTTTCAGACAGATTTCAGTTATACACAGGCCCTGCTTCAAGCCTGTCTTTGCCTTTTCAGTCATAGCCATGTGTAAGTGAAAGCACATATGTTGATGACGTGTGAGATCCGAGGACGTACAGGAACGGATTCCACCCTTGAACAAGTGGAAAGAGAAGGGTAGGAAACCGCAAGGGGAAGAGGGATGAGCTAATATGTTTTTGGATGGGCAAGTGACAAGAATTTACAGTGTATTGGAGACTTTGCAGATCTCAGACTACATATTGCTAACTAGTCTCTTAGTAAGAGTCAGGTAGGAAATCAAAAGCTGTGACTGGCTTGAAGAAGTAAGTAAGAGATGTTTAAGGTGTAATCCCAGCAGTAAAGGTATTTTGAGAGTAGGATATGAGGCAGGAGGAAAAAAGGAGAGAGGGAAACCAAACCTATCAGAGAAGGAATATAGTGTGTAGCTGGTGGAGAAAGTGGGAGTTTTATGGAACATACAGCCCATGAGCTGAATTAGCGGTTAGCCAAATTTGGAGAATTAAACAAGCAAAATGTAGATGGTATACAGCAAACAGTACTAGTAAATACATGCATAGAAACTGAAGCAAGTAAGATAACACAGGCGAAGACTGGATAGTCATAAATGGTAGTCTCTAAAAATGATCACCCTTGAGAAAGTCAAATCAATGTAGTGACGTTCACAGGTATAAATAAGCAGTTCACAGTTCGTATGTGGAAATGAACAGAAAAAGGGATGCACAGCCTCAGGGATGCAGCACACTGTAGCCCATGTGAAGTTGGACTATTATGGCACCACTAATGAGACCAGCACTACCCATAATTATGTGTAAGTCATCATCTGGTTCCCCAAGAACATGAGACTGGCTGAGAAACCCAGGGTTATTCTTAGGGGAAACCTTCCAGGTTTCTTCATTTTCCTTCTGGGCTTTAAGCCTTTGTCAGGTCATGCCGTCTACCTTCTCATTAGGAAGCCTGTGTGACATGAGACCAAAGGTCACAGAATCACAGAATCACAGAATCGTTGAGGTTGGAAGGGACCTCTGGAGATCATCTAGTCAAACCTCCCTGCTCAAGCAGGGTCCTCTACAGCACATTGCCCAGGATCACATCCAGACGGGTTTGGAATATCTCCAGCAAGGGAGACCCCACAACCTCTCTGGCCAACCTGTGCCAGTGCTCTGTCACCCTCACAGTCAAGAAGTTTGTCCTCCTGTTCAGATGGAACTTCCTGTGGTTCAGTTTGTGCCCATTGCCTCTCATCCTGTCACTGGGCACCACGGAGAAGAGTCTGGCCCCATCCTCTTGACATCCCCCCTTCAGATACTAGGACACATTGATCAGATCCCCTCTCAGTCTTCTCTTCTCCAGCTCCTTCCTGTTTCCCACACTTCCCAAAACCTATGCCTAGGAGGTGTCTGAAAACAAGGGAGGGCACACAATGAGGCATTTCCATTACCTTCTACCCAGCCTCTAGCCGTCTGCCGTTCAGGAAATTTTTGAGCCAAAGGTGAAGCTTTTGTCTTAAAAACATGCAGAAGTGTTTTGTTCATGAATTAATATAACCGCTTTTTGGTCCCATGTGAGCTTTAGCACCCTTGAGTCTAGTAAAATTTTAGAATAATCTGAATACAAGAAGTGAAGCTTTCAGAAAAATCCACTGCTCGATACATAAACACAAGGAAAGAAAGCACAAGAGGACAGGAACAGTTTTTTTCTTACGGGACTGCTGGATTTCTTTACAGGTTTGAATAGTGCCACATGTAGAAGGAGACTGCTTCGGAAATCAGTTGCTGTGAGCATTTGATGGACAGAAATAAAACAGTTAACTTAATCAGGAGTAACTAGTTAGGTCTTACTTGAGAACAGTGAAGTTAGAGGATGGTAGAAAATAAGGTCACCACTCCATGTCACAAGTCCAGGCAGTACCTTCCTTTGACTCCTAGTTGGTGAGGTCCTCAGTACTTCAAGTTAATAAAGGAAAAGAGATCCCCCTGAAACTCCCCGGACATTTCACACAGTCGACCAGTGATGAGTTACATAACAAGTACTGTTGTTTAATCTGTCATCACAAAGAAATCTCCCATTTCTCATACTATCTCGATGGGGCTGGCAAGCCCTACTATCAGGACTACAGTCCCGTTTCTTGCTGTCTGGAACCACTCCAAAAATCTTCTCCAGGAGTGATGTAACTTTTTTCCAGAGAGGAAGCTAGCATATGTTACAATGAGTACTCTTAAAGCACGTCCTATTAAATGTAATATATAGTGATAATGACCATGACAGAGGTAAATTCAGATGCATTGTGCACACTGAGAGATCACGTCATGTACCAACAGGCACGTGCTAGCCTCTAAATACATCAGCTAAGTGAATAGGGCCACTTTCTTTTGACATTTAGACCAGCAGTTATAGTAAATGTAATAATGGGAGAGGGCAAGTACTAACAAAAATTGTGATGTATGTCATAAATATGGGTTAATTTTTAATTGGCACTAATAATTGTTACACTGCAAAGTTAAATCTGGCACCATCATATGATTATTGGAAAGAGATAGGATCATTTTGCTCTGTACAAATGTTAAAGACAAGAAATCTAAACATCTCTGAAAAGGCCAAAACTAAAGTACTGGGGAAGGAAAAAGCTTCCCTGAATTCTCTACATTTTTTTATTTGCAAGCTAGGAAAGAAAATACTGAAAACTCTGACTCTTACTTATCACTGCTATTAAAAGAAACACGGTTGGGTGGCAAAGAAAATATGTTATTCATAGTACCTTCTCCAATTTAAAGCTTATTGATTTAATTAGGTGTAAAATTGAGCACATTCCTTTTTAAAGCCATACTTAAAGAATGAAATTCAGTTCTTGCAGGGCACCAGCCCCTAATCCCACTTAAAATCAGCTGTGTGAATTTCATGCTGATGCTCCAGACATGGAAAACTGTCCTGTCCCGGTGACTATCTTATGTGCAAGGCGGTGTGCAGGGGATATTCTGTGGAGGGTGCTCATATCTGTACAGCTGACTGAGGTAGAGTAACCCTCAGCAGGCTTTGTAGCAGGTGACAAATCTCCCCGTAGGCTGCTAGGCTGTTCTCCCACCTACGGACACCTCTTTAGCGACAAAGCTGCAGATGAGTATGATGGCTGAAGCTCCCCTCCCCATCTGCAATGGGGAGTATTGATGCAGTTCGGTCTGTTTCTGCCACTCAGAAGGGGTGATGGTTTTTCAGCACTCTGGTAGGCATGCAGCATGCTGACTGGTCCAAGGTGCTACTTCTCACTGCATATTGAAACACAACTCTGAGCGTGCTGGACACTTTCCGAATAAAC